TCCCTTTCCCCTGGGCGGGGTGAAAGGCTCTCCACCTCAAGCTTGGGTCTTCTACCAGAGGCCTGGGAGCTTGAGGGGTTTTTTGCAGCATCTCAGCTGTTCCTATAGGTCTGCACTTTTCTGGACTGAGATGTCAGATGTTTCTCCATGTTACTGTTAGGGCCACTTCTCCAGCATGGGGATCACTGCTCCAAGTGCTCCAATGGGCACTACAGTTATATATATATATATATATATATATATATATTAGGGTTGGGCAATATTGGCAAAGAAAATTTATCATGATTAATTGTGGTATTTAGCCAATAACAATTAATATGACGATCAATCCCCTGAGGTCCCTGGACGCCTGCATGTCCTACTCACATGACCAAATGAAATTACTCTACTGGGAAATATTTGCTCTCCATAAAAATCTATTCCAAATTGTGTCAAAAGTACAGACTTCAGGTTATACATACATTTTTAAATTGTGTTCATAGGCCAAGTTAAACCAGAGTTATGATAAATAAATTACAGAACTTTTTTTTAATGTTTGTCATATTTGAAGCAGAATGACTGAATCTGCCTGGTGGCATTAATTGTATTAATCATCAAGTGCCAAAAAATAATTGATTAAAGTTTTTTCTGATAATCACTAAAAGGCAGATTATGGGTCATGTGCAGAATTAATGGATGATGAGGATGTGAGTGAAGCAGAATTCAGCTGGTTTTCTCACAGAAAGTGTGCATTTCTGACTGAAATACTGTATCTTATGCCTCAGTTTATTCATTTTCTACATGCTGGATTCAAGATAATGTGTGTTCAAAGGCATACCTTTGGAAAAAAAGTATTTATACATTTAAAAAATTTGCACACCCCCCCCCCCGAAGTACCTCTGTGACCCCACAGTTGACGACCTCTGATTCATCCCTTCCAAAGAAAACCTATTTTAAAATTTGCTACATCATTTTTTACCAATTAAACAGGACTCAGCCAAGCCAGTTGACAATGCATTTAACAAATACATAGTCCAAAAATTTAGCACACAGACAAATCATCCATCTACATACACAAACAGCAGCAAGCTTGCCCATAGAAGCCAGGTCAGTCAGTCAACCCTGGGGTCCTATGGTATTAATCAGTCTAGTTTCTGCTGAAAAGCTCAATCTGCAGATGATGGATGAGCCATCAGGCTGGGGGAACGCAAGTGACAGGTGACAAAGAAGGACACACACACCTGTATAAATCCACTATCCCTCCTGTCTGGGCTTGATGCTACACCATCGAGACAGCACAATATAAATGTGTGTGTGTGTGTGTGTGTGTGTGTGTGTGTGTGTGTGTGTGTGTGTGTGTGTG